TGAGACACGTTCGTTGTTTTATAATCTGGATTGATTTCTAGTTGATTTTTAACACTGTCTGAATATAATTTTAAAGCAGCTCTCAACGCCCAACAAATGCACTCTTGATCTTCTTTGCTTTGAACGTTGATGATTGCTTTCTTGTCTGCTAGTTCTTTAGGCAACGAAATGTAAGTCGCTCCTACCGGATTATATTTTACCCTGTTGATGTAAAATGCGACAACTTTGTAAAGCACCCAGCCCAATCCCCTCTGTTCGTGTGCCTCCACGTCTTCTCAATGTTTGGCCATTTGTTGCGTTAACGCGTCTTTGTATTTTATTTTTACTAGTAAAATGTGAAAACGCCAAGTTTAGTTTCGACTCCTGGTTTTTCCAATTTGAATTTGTCCTTGATTGCCGTTTGTAGCTTGTATGAACCTATATTTCAAAGTCGGCTGATGCTTTGTCTTGGATAAAAGTTTTGATAAAATAAAAAAAACTGAATCAAGTCGTCGGCAAAGAAAGTAGGCGTCAGTTCCGAATTTCTATAGTTGCCTCTAAAGTGCCTGATCTTCTTTACCTCTTCGATCACTTGCGGTTTAATGTGTGATTTAATAGCGGTTATTAGGTCTGTTCGCAGTTTCTTGCCTTTTGTTCCCGTGGCCGTAAATTCGTTGTCTTGTGTTGTTTGTAATAGTTGACAATATGATGGGCATGTAAGATCACTAAATTGCCATTGGCTCGCTTAAATTGCTCACATGAGCTGGGGTTTTGCGTGACTTTTTGACGGGGTGGAGGTAAGTTCATATCATATTGTTTGACAAAGTCGGATAAAATTATTTTTTCAAGCGTCTAAAATCTGATAATAGAAGACAACGTTGTGATCTAGTTTCTTTGTTCATGTCTGTTTATATATATGTTTTATAAATTATCTCAATTTTATTGAAGGTGAAATCTCGTCGCGGGACAAAAAGTCCGTCGATCGGGGAAATCCCTTTTTAGACCGTAAATCACGTGAATTTTGGGGAAATCCCTGTTTAGACCGAATGTCAGCTGAGTTTTGGGGAAATCTCTTTTTTGATTGGGGAAGTCCCTTCTTATCTGGGAAGAGTGGAGAGGAGGGGGGCTGAGCTAGAATCCCCCGTTCCCTACTACTGTTGTTGTTAATGCACCAATAAGGTCCCCTCTCTGTCTACATTTCATTTGGTGCTATGAAAGTACAATAATACCAGTAACAACCCAAACAGCCGTAACTTGCCGTCAACAAAGAGATACACTTACTGCGAGAGGTCATAAGGGGAGCTTGGTAAGTTGGTTTTTGAACAGGCCGTACTCTACAGCGATCACCGAGAGGCTAAAGGGACTTGGCACTCTTAAAATACATTAGCAGCCTGAGGACTGCCCGAATTTTCAGTCTAATTCAACAAAAACAAACCCGTTATTCAAAAAATGACAATGACCAGTGGGAATATTTGATCTCGGTAGCTTACTGAAGAGTTAGAGTATCAATTTCTGTCTATCGGCACCACCAAGAGGAGGATCATCAAATGGCCCATCACCATGGTTGAAAAAGCCGAGGACATATACATCACACTACTTCAATTCATGCCAGTGGATCATTTTAGTAAGGGGGTTGGGGCACTGATCCAGGGCATTGTATATTGATGATTGTGCTGGTGGCAATGAAATTGCGTGGCCCCAACTGTTCCTGTGGCAATGTCGGAAAGCAAAAAAGATAGACTCCCTTTAAAAGTCATTTCTATCTCCCGTGATTTTATTCAGCGGCAGAAGAAAATATATTTACATAGAGAAGGAAAATGATTTTGCATGCACAAAAGGCATTGTTTCGTTTGTGCACTTACGAGGTTAAGTTATCGAATAATCATATTTATGAAATGGTTTCAACCACTTACGTCTTTTTATGCGGTACAGTTCTTGTATTCCGTTTATCTCCTTTATATCAATTGTCAACTCAATTTGGTGTTTTCGTGATACAATGATTTATAAGCTAATTGATATGTATATAAATAGCAAATCTGTATGTCACCTCAGGACGAAATGTAATGTTACATGATACTTGCAGTACATTAATAATCACTTATCGAATGCTTCATTGAGTTGTAAATTTTGTAGTTCTGTACGTCATCCTCAATTAGTGAACAAAAATGTTTCAATTATTATTTACAATTTCAAAACCGAACATTAAAATACAGACAACAATGTCTCAAAGTGTACGGCCCCTCATTTATCTAAAGTAAACCATCACAAAATTTTACCTGTAGAAATCAGTTTTTAAATCTTGGTGAACGATAGGATACCAAACAATATTCGTACATTTTAACGTAAATTATTGGTTATGCTGTACGTTTTCTACATAATAAACATACCTTCAAAACGTGTAAACGACCCTTTAAGATCCTTCAATATTTATTCTTCTGTTTCCAATATTGCTGCAGCACACTGCGCCGTATCAAGTCTCTGTCGGCCTTTTCATTTGTGTATGCATATTATGGTCATCCGGACACTACAGTGTTAAGCAACAGACATGCAATTCTCATTCAGTATCCAATTCTGTGAGACAATTCAGGCAGAATGATGTGCTTGTTTTCCACAGACCCCTTCAACGCACTGGGTCTGGCAACGTTGGATTGCTTTAAAACGTGTGCACCATTTGAGCGTTTGTAAATTAAAGTCGAGTTGCAAAAAATGTAGCATGAAATTGCATAATTTGTTGGGGGATTTCCAGCCCCCCCGGATGATAAGGTCCGACAAAACCTGACCCTCTTAAGACTAAACATTCATTACAAAACCTGCGTACAATTCCTGCATTTTCCTTTGATCATATGTGCGATTGATTCAATGTAACAAATCAAATAAGACATCCGTGATTTAACTACCCTGCCTTACGGGGTACACTGGTATAATTTTAAATCCTGAAATGATCACAATGTATTTCCAAGACAGTGTGTGTACGCTCTAATACTTCCCCACTCCTCTGAAGGGAAAAAAGTGGTTTTATGCGAATGCAATTCGTTCAGGTCAAAGAAATAAACACCAAGAAAGAAATGCATTTCTTATAGTTCATTTAATACTTTGAAACTTGAAACAGGAAAACTTCCGAGTGATACTTGCAACGGATTTATAAATTTGAAGGGAATACAACAATTTGCGGACCTTAGCTTTTTCCGTGTAAACAAACTTACGTTGTGTAAAACTAAAAAACAAAACGATAAATTGAACAAATCCAAATTCAAGATTATGGTGAGAAGAACACTTGATTTTTTTTATTCGCCTTTCCCCGACGCTACGGTACCCAGAAAATAGTAGTAAAACTATGCGCTCTGTCACCCACCTCTATCCAAGTAGCCTCGCAATTGGTGACTTTTATGGAAGAAATACGCCGGAACTGGAGACTACTCGTCCCAAAACTCGGGATTTATAGAAATATTTCTATGATCCCTCCTGATTATGGCATGTCTTATTGTAACACCCCCGTGGGATCACAAAATATTAACGAGCTCGTGCGCAGAAATGCAATGATTTGGTGGAATGGGCCTACAAGATTTGATCATAAAAAATCATATCTATTGGTATTGAGCTCACCCCCGTCTCTACAGGCGCCTCCATTTCCTCCAGTAATGAGTCAACGGCGAGAGCTTAATACGACTACACGACGGGACGGCTGAAGGCCGCGACACAATAGGTCGACGGCACAACGCGACGTTCATGACAGCACAACGCGACGCATTGCATTAAAGCAGATTTGATAAACTGGGGATCCAATTTTTCCTAATTACGTAATGAAAAAAAATCGGCCAAATGCAAAAACCTCTTATTAATTTGTACCTCTGTAGATGTTGAACAGCCGACTTTAGTCACCTTTAAAAATGGGACTTCCCCTGAGCTGCGTAATACTTTTCCAGAGCCCGCCTCCAGCGAAGTCCCACGGGGATTGTACGTAAATATCTTAGCCACGTGCTGATAAGGAATTATTGACAAAGAAAGTGCTTGGGCAAGCCTGGGAAAGCTGGGGCCTGTCTTATATCTATGGTCGGTCTCTCTTATGTGTCTCTGAGCTGTAGACAGCTGTTTGAGTAGTTTCATCGTGTTGGGGGTGTCAATTTGTTGTGGTTATAACGGACGTGATCTCAAAAAGATCACCTTTATGCAATGAGCGTAAAAAGTAGGCTCTGCGCAGTGAATTTACATGATACACGTATGACTCCCTTTGAGCATTAACAGAAAAAATCGGCCCTGTGCAGCGGAGGGTCAATTAAACACAACATAAAAGTAATAAAAAAGAGGTAACGCCACGACACGATAAAGCCGTCGTAGCGTCGCGTCATGGCGTCGCATCGTGCGGTCGGGACGACAGGACGACGCAACGCAAATTTGGCGGTTGTAGAACACCATACTAAAAACATGGCCATTTGGTATTATGACCTTCCCCCATAAAGATAGTCATTTCAAGCCACCGCCTGCCTCAAGTTGACCAAAAAAAAAAAAAAAAGGAAATTGGTCAGACATTGTATTCACGGCGCAAAGAAGGAATGTTCTATAATTAGCACAGAAAAGGTCAGGTTTAGTTTCAACCTCTTTCCCACCCCGCACACACATACCATCACCACTACGGTTCAGCAGACTTATTACTCTGCATTAACATCCAGCTGCAAGAACTTATAGAAATAAAAAAAAAAAACCAAAAAACAAAAACAAAACAAATTTAAAAAAACGAATGTTCGACAGAGGTCAAAAATACAAAAAACTTAATCCATATTGAAATGCCCCCTCCTGCGAGCATTCCGTAAAATCGTTTGGTCACACACGAGCCGAAGGGCAGTTTTTGCGGAGCCAGCCTACAATGAAGGGGTCTGTGGTGTCTTGTAAGAGCGGGAGGGAAAATAGCCAATCAAATGTGGGACAGATCATGGCTATATTTTCTTTGTTTACACCACGGCAAAATTGCAAATGCATTCGATGGTGAATGTTACCCGCGCTTGGGGCATATCAAAATTCATCATCTATGAAGTGGTATTACGATACAACTGGTGATATATCTTGACGGAGTACCAGTCAGCGGCTACCAGCCGCTGCCTATCTGCTGTGAGTGTAATTCCCATGGGCCAGTGCAAATCCCGCGCAACACAGCTGACAAACCGTCCTGTATAATGGTAATTGTGAATGTGACCGGTGCCGGGGTAACTTTTGACCGCAGCTACGAAAATGTCCTCGCCGTTACTGGACACACCTCTGCAGTATTTCACCGGTTGACCGTCGATGATTGGTTTGATTGTGGTAACCTGGGTAGCGTTGCCATCAGAAACATCCACTATGGCAACTTGTCCCTTTTTCTCGTCACTGATCACGATCCAACCGTTGCTCATCACAGCCAACCAGTTAGGTGCAATCTCCACTGGTATGGTGTGTATGAGTTTACCGTCATCGGGTTTGTGCTCGGTCAACACCATCCTGTGCATATCCCCCACTAGGATGTTACCGTTCTTCATGACGGCTACACTCACAAGCATCACTCCAACCTCACCAAAATCCCACATTGGTACAGTGGGGAACTCATAGGCTAACGTCGCGTCTTGACGATATACGAACACCTTCTCTGGGTTAGCACACACCCACGACTTTGACGTAGCGACAACATCAGCTGGAAAGCAAAACGACTTTTTGAATAAAATAATGAAAACTGCAGGCAGTGGTTGTTACAGCAACAACCACAGAGCTGTTTCAGATTTCGAGTCGTTGAACAGATAATTTTGATCTGTGACGATTTTGTTCGTGGGCCCTCTGCTTCAGCTGGGCTAAGAGTATACACCTAAATATAAATAGCCAGTCACATAGACAACAGTGCCGAAGACTGGCTGATGAAAAACATTTGATGATGATCAAACATCGCAAAGTTACACCCAAGTAGTGGCTTGAAAACATGTACAATGCCAATGGGCAATAAACACATATGTAGGAAACTGCTCCTTTAAGTTTATGTCACATGATTTGCGTCTTAACCGAAGCATTTTTATGAAATATTGCTTGACATTTTGACTCTTGAGTATGTTCAAAATCGAATAACATAGCATGAAATATATAATTTTGTTTCATTCTAGAAGTAATCTTGAGCAGAGAGTGAGAATTACTCACTCACCAAGATTGGTAATGGCGTGATGAAGAAAACGTGTATAAACCTATTGCAAAGATTAAATATCCAAAAATAATTAATTTTCAAAATCAAATCATTTCTACTTGACACTAGTGAAGGAGTAGTCCTTTACTACGGTTCAGGATTGCAATAAAACGAAAAGGAAATTGGGTATTTTACCCCGTACTTGCCGTGTTATTTGATTTGAAATATGGCTAAGACTCCGAATTAAAAAATACTTCATAAAAAATTGTTCAGTTTAAGCGCGAATCACGCGACCTTTACTTAAACGAGCAGTGTTTCGGCAAACGAGTTTATGGCCCATAGACTATGTACACGTTTTCAAGACACCATTTTCAAACCTTGGCGATTTTTCATGGGTAGCAAAGTGATAACCAAAAATGACCCTGATACGAGAATTATTGTAAATAAATGACGTCATGTGATTTACTACTGATTTTTCAATATTTATTTCAGCCTATTGACTGTACACATTTTCAAGTCACCATTTGTGCAATTTTCAGAGGTTTGATCAGCATCAAAGTTACACACAACAAAGACCCCCATGAAAGAAATGTCCTAAATTTATAACTTTATGAGGACGTCATCACCAAAAATAGACTTCCGATACAGCCCCGTGGTTTTTCAAAACCACGTTCCTTTTTCCTTTTTGTTCTTTTTTTCGTCCCTTAGTAACTTTGGATTTTCATCAAACTTACATCAATGAAATACCCTTATCCAAAGATGTGCATAGAACAATTACATTGTGATGACGTCATGAAGCGATTTATTAGTGATTTTGTTATACTTATTTCAGTCCATTGACTTTGTAAACATTTTCATGACACTATTTTGGTAATTTGGCGATCTTCAATTGTAACCAAAGTTAAAACCAACAAAGACCCTCATGCAAAGATATGTCCGAATCCAGTGATTTATTACTGATTTTGCAATATCTATTTCAGCCCATTGACTTCGTACACGTTTTGAGGCACTATTTTCATACCTTAGAAATCAATTGATTGTTGTCAAACTTACAGCAAGCACTTACTGTAAAACGAAAATAATTCTGATATATTTACGTCATGATGACATCATCAAGTGATTTATTATTAAATTTTGAATACTTCAATGTTTAAATAAAATCTGTTTTCAGCAAGTGCCAGGATAAAAAAGTTGTCTTGTTTTCATCTCGTGTAGGTCAAACAACGTGAAAAGCCATAAAGTTTTTTTCAACAGAATTAGTCTGTCGGTTTTAGTGCTGGGTTGAAACCCGGCTAACATCTTGGAGAGGAAGTGCTTTAGACAAATATTGAGCTCATTTATTGATGACGTCATCAACCATCGCTTTTTTCATAACGGGCATTATTGAAAAGTCAAATGTTATTAATTTGGCCTGGATTCTACTTCTTTGTTGATTAAAAAGGGGCATGACACCTGATCTGTGTGGGGACCTATTAAGTCCTGAACCACAAACAGGACGGGTGATGAAGTCAATGACAACACCATACCCTTTACCTGCAGATCCCACATGGCGTCGTTTGCCGATGAATATCAGAGTTGGTTCGAAGTGTATATCACACAGTACAACTTTCTAGTCCCTTTCGTTAATCTGAATGATTTCTTTCAATGTACACTTGAAGTCCTTATGGGAGAGGCTCCCAAAGAAAAATCGTCAACATGACATCATCGGGGGTCATGTGACGTGATAAAAGCTGCAGTTTTCTCCATAGGTTTTGTACAAGTTCTTCTACTACGCACTGTTATCGAGTTTTTAAGTGAGGAGTCTTCAACGTCGGCTGAGAATTACTACTAGAACGAAAGACAAAACCAAGCTAAATTTCCCCTTCCGTTCGAATGGAAATATAGGGCCTACACAAGAGCTTTAAAAATCTGTCAGTTTGAACACAAATCACTTGACATCGTCATAAAGGAGCAGCTTCTCTGAATAGGTGTTTTCAGCCCGTTGTATTTTACACGTTTTAAAGCCACTAATTTGAAACCTTTGTTAAGTTTTAGTTTTTAGATTTTAGTTCAGTTTTTATTTTAGTGGGTATTGTTCTTAGCTTTTGCTGAATATGACTATGAGAAGGAAAGAGAAATCGTCATTTTATTTGAAATATGACAAAGAGTTTTAACATCAAATTCATATTTTACAAAAATTTCCCAGTTTAAATGCAAATCACGTGACTTGAATATTCAGGTGCAGTTTCTCTTGACTGGGATTTTAGCCTATTTACCTTGTACACGTGTTCAAGCTATCATTATTGTAACTTTGCGATTTTCAATTGTCATCAAAGCTACAGCCAACAAAAACCCTAATACAAAAAATACGCAAATTGCATGACGTAATGATTATGTCAACTTCTAATGTTTTATTGATTTTGAATGTTTTTATATTACCTGTAGATTTTAAGCATGTTTTTTGTTCCACAGGCAATTTTCTTGATCTGACTATGTATGAGGGTACACGTGTACTCTTTGAGTCCCCCTGCTCGAGAGGATAAAAACACAATATTGTCATAATGACGTCGTATGGTGTCAGGTGTCATGACTTCAAAGAATCAAACTTCAAAGTCATTTATCTCCTGAGGGACGTGTCCAATTTAAAGGATGTTTTATGGACTAAAATTGACCTCATGTGATGAAGCATTATGTGACGAGTCAGGTGACATTAAATTTGCACTCTTCAAAGCACTTCATCCCGTGATGAACATGTCCGATTGGGTTTAAACTCTGCAGATATCTTGATATTGAGGGATTTAGTCGAACATTGACCTGAAGTGATGATGATGTCATTAATGTGACAAGTCACGTGACATTAGAGGCGCTCTCTTCAAAGCACAATATCTCGTGAAGTACTTGTCTGACTAAATCCAAACCTTGCAGGTATCTTATAAGAGAAAAGCCTTAGACGAACATTGACCTCAAGTGATAATGACGTCATCAATTGACAAGTCACAAGTCAATAAATGTGTACTCACGTGACATTCAATGTGCACTATATTTGAGTATAGCTGTAAAGGGAGAATTTTAGACCAAAATTGGCCTAATCTGATCTCACGTCATCAATTGACAATTCACTCTTTGAAGTACTCTGCTTCTTTAACTGCATGGCCGGTTTGGTTCAAACATTGCTGAGATCTTGAATGAAAGTTGATTAAGACAGATACTGGCCTGATGTAATGACGCCATCATGCACGTCACGTGGTATTAAAGGTGTAATGTACAAAGCACCATATCTCCTTAATTGCATGTAGTATTGTGTTCAAACTTTGCTGAGAGGAAAATGGCTTGGGCCAATATTGACCTCATCTGAGGGTGACATCATCAGGTGAGAAACCACGTGGCATTAGAAGTACATCTGTTAGAGCGCTATATCTGGCAATGTACATGTCCGATTCGATTGAAATTTTGTAGGTAATGAGAAATGGACGTTTTTTTATATTTTTGGTAAATATTTGTAGATTTGAGTAGCTCTTTGAGCAAAAACTCGAGAAATGGAAATGTGCTATATCTTTAATGAACAAATGGTTTTTTTTCTTATTAAAAAAGAAAATGCAAGAGAGCCCTTTGCTCTGTTCTTAAGACGGATACAAATTGTAGATATTGTTCTTTTTCAGACTCTTTCTCCACAGGCTTTGTGAACTTCGTCTCCAACCAGTCGACCTCGACAGTTTTATACGTCTGATTGATTTCAAACTTGCAGATTAATTAATCGTGCAAGATAAATTATAGGGGAAATTAATCATGATGACGTCATCACATGATATATTATTTGGATTTAAAATATTTAATTTCCACCATAGGTTTTGTGCACTTTTTCAACAGCTAGACTTCCATACTATTCTCAAGGTATCTCGATTCATGTTAGGTGGATATTTGTAGCCCAACAATAAGAAAGGGCGTAGGAAAGAAATCTTCATGACGACATCATCACGTGACTTTTTGAATATTTAGTTTCTCTCCGCAGGTTTTATACAAGTTTTTGTACATTGCAATGTCAATCCTGATTAGCGAGTAGTCCACAATTTCGGCTCAAGATTACTATCAGAACGAAAGAGAAAACGGATTTTTTCATCTTCTTTGATTACAAATATACCCAAGAGTCCAAATTTCAATTAATATATCATAATGTTTTCCCAATATATACACAAACCACGTGAATTACCTTTAAAAAGGTGCAGTTTATCTCCATACTTTGCATCGGTAGTATAATTAATCCATAATCCCCTGGGGCTATCAAAATTTTTGAAAAAAGTCATGCTCACATCATCAGGGGTCACGTGACATGAGATGAAAGTTGCGGTCTTCTCAATAGCGTTTGTACACATTTTTTTGTACTACATACCATTACCGAACTTTATGTGTGAGTAGTCCTCAACTGCGAGAGAATTACTACCAGACCGAAAGAGGAACCAGACTAAATTCTCCCTTTTGTTTGATTACAAATATACCCCAGAATCAAACCACCGAGTAATATTTCAGATTTTTTCAGTTTAATTTGAATT